TTCCTGGTCCACATCAGCACGTTGATTTTGATTGTGATCTGAAGTACGCAGGGTTCCTGAGAGCGACATGCTATTCAGTATATGCAGTCTAATTTTATAAGGCTACAAGAATACTTTTGTGCACAAAGAAAACAAAAAATAACTTTATTCAACAATTTCTTCTCTTCTATGTCAGTCTCCGTCGCACATTCAAGAGAACACCACAATGCATATGTGTGCATTGCATTGATTGAGAACAAGGAGCAGCACATCCGAGTTGTACGTCAGAACGCCGGCGCATGCATGAGTCGTGGTACTCTCATGAACGCATGTCGAAGACTGACACGGAAGAGAAGAAATTGTTGAATAAAGTCATTATTTTTGTTTTCTTCGCGCACAAAAAGTTTGTAGCTTCATAACATTACGGTTGAGCCACTGCCATTACATGGACTATTATAACGATGTCCTTACTACCTTTCTGGGCCTTGAAGGTGTCAGCTGCATTGCTGTCTATGCAGGACCAGAAAGCTCTGGGATTTCATCAAAAATATCTTAATTTGTGTTCAGAAGATGAACGAAGATCTTACAGGTTTGGAACAACATGAGGGTGAGTAACAATTTTTGGGGGAACTAATCATTTAAAGCAACTCTACTTGACCTTTATCTAAAATGTTGTTTTTTTTCTGACAATGAGAATGTCTGCTGAAGCTTTACCTTTCTTACAGGTGAGAAGGGCTCCAATAAGCCCAGAGGAAATGTCTTGTGAAGCACTGACGTGGGAGTGGTAGGCCCACGTCAGGCAGTTGGCGTCACCCTTTTGAGGAGCATAATCTGGCTTCACAGTCCAGATGTAGGTGTAATTTCCACCCGGTGGAACCCCGTCATCCTTCTTCAGAGTGTCTGAGGTTCCGTCTGGATACAGCGCGCCTAGTGGAGACAGTAGGAAGTCAACACAAGCAAAAGTGGAATATTTGAAATATATAAGAAGCGAATGACAGAGAAATAGGTTTTACCTTCTGAGTCCTTCGCATAGAAGACACCGTGAGGATGCATGGAGTAACGTCTGGAGGCGAAGTTCTTCAGGTGCACGATGATGACATCATTGACCTCGGCCCTCAGTATGGGGCCCAAATAGCCCAGCCAGGTGGGTTTGGGGATCTCTTGAGAATAAGAAGCATCCGTGTACTGCTTGTATATTGCCTTTTTGTACACACTGCCAATCCGCCGAGGCCCGCGCTGCAGGAATACTGATGCATACCTGAGCCATGAGAAAGATAAGACCATTTTCCAATATACCTACAAACCCAATGGGATTATAAGAAATGGTGGAGATTATTGTAAAATAAAATTAGAAAATAAATAGGTAATTCAAGGATACGCAACTTCGATAAATCCATTATAATGCATAGAAAATACACTTTTAAAGGTATTTTGGGCATTAAACTTTACAAATCCATCACTGAAATGTGTTAAATAACATATGTTGTGTTGTGAGCAATGTATATATGTAATTACTAAAACTCAAAAAATGCAGGGAAATATTTTTTAAAAATCTTATATGTATTTATCTTCAGTAAGCCTCTCATTTATGAATGAATTAAACACTTTTTATTTAGTGTGTAAAATTCAAGGATGGTGGTGGAAATTTCCTATTGGGCACTGGTGTCAGCAGCCATATCACCCTGCAGCCCTAGACTAGTTGCCCACTGAAGCTAAGCAGGGTTGAGCCTGGTCAGTACCTGGATGGGAGACCTCTTGGGAAAACTAGGTTGCTGTTGGAAGAGGTGTTAGTGAGACCAGCAGGGGGTGCTCACCCTGTGGTCTGTGTGGGTCCTAATGCCCCAGTATACTGACAAACAGTACTGTCTTTTGGATGATATGTTAAACCGAGGTCCTGACTCTCTGTGGTCATTAAAAATCCCAGGATGTTCTTCGAAAAAGAGTAGGGGTGTAACCCCGGCATCCTGGCCAAATTTGGCCTCTGACCATCATGGCCTCCTAATCATCCCCATATACTGATTGGCTTCATCAAGCTGTCTCCTCTTCACCAGTAACCTGGTGTGTGGTGGGCGTTCTGGCGCACTATGGCTGCCGTCGCATCATCCAGGTGGATGCTGCACACTGGTGGTGGTTGAGGAGATTCCCCCCTTCTATGTAAAACGCTTTGAGTGCCCAGAAAAGCGCTATATAAATGTTAGGAATTATTTATTATTTACCAGGAAAGCTATATCAAATGTATTCCCCAAATGAATACAGTTACAGTATATCAAACTACCAGATATTGTCTAGAAAAGGTCAATCCTCAAAACTGTCTGGGTAAACAAGAAAGAGAGAACAGCTGCAGAGTTTAGTAGACGAGTACAGACAAAAGGTGCAGGTGGGAGGATGCCAACAAAAAAAAAACTCAAAATGAATCATGTGACGGCATGTCTGGAGTTTCCAAGAAAGGCATAATAGTGTCTGATAGTACATAGGTTTTTTTTTCCAGTTGATGTTGTATGTATTCAGACAGCCGAATTTCATTGTATGAACTAGAAAAGAGTGAATATAGAATATAGAGATACTTTTGTCAGGAATTTTATATATACTCAGTATATATACACTATACAACACACTATACATTTTATGGACAATTTTAAAGAAAAGCATAAAAATATATAAATATATAAACATTTACTGTTTTGTCCTGTTTCAATCAGATGAATTGTAATTAATAAAGAAGATTATAGAATGTGTGTGTGTGTGTGTGTGTGTGTGTAAAATGTAAATGTATTCTATATTAATATATAGTAATAATAATAATAATAATAAATGATATAATACATAAATAATAATCTCACTCATCCACTGCAATAGGTTTCCCAATTATCAGATTATGGCCACTCGGTGCGTAATTCCAGTTTTCCTCTTGAATTCCAATGTAGAAGGTTCTGTTGATTCCAGACACTTGTACTATCACAGCACAAAAGATGCTCAAATTTCCCAGACAGGTCCAGAAAGTAACCATAGTCTCAGAAAAACACGACTGTCCTTGCTAAAGTCCTCAAATAATTCTCAACAGGAACGTTCTGTGTGGCCCTGCGTTATTATGTGACAGCAAAGACATTAAGATGAGCAGTCATGAGCCATGATGACAGCCTTCTGGGATTCACACACCCATGAAATTCATGGCAAGCCCTTCCCTGCTGGAAGAATCCATCTGAGATGGCTTGCTGTAATATGGTAGCTGGTTTGTAGTTGGTCATTAGCTGATTCAAGCTGGCCATTAGCTGGTGCAAACTGGTCAATCATCTTGAAATAGCAATAAACAAACCATCTTGTCACACTAGTTTAAAGTGGCCAAGATGATTTTGAACATGGACAACCAGTTAACAACCAGCTTGCACCAGCTAATGACCAGCTATCATGTTCCAAAACACAGCTACTTGGTTTAAACATAAGTTTTAACAGAGTTTTAATATAAAATGGTTTGGCTTGAATATCCATAATTGCATTTCAGTTGTCTATATAAGAATTTAATTCTATCTGAATGATAAAATGAGATGTCTGCTATTATAGCCTACTAATTGTGTATTTGAGGTTTGTGATACAATAAATAATTATTGAGGGGAAAGGTCCCATAAAATGTTTTGTCCCAGGCCCCGTGAACTTTAGCAATGACCCTGCTATCTCCAATATTACAAATATTAATATAGTTAACATTGAATATTTTCTACAACACAAAAATACCCAATATTTTTAAATTTTTATGTCTATTTTAAAGTTACAGAACTTTGGGAAGCACATTGCCGAAAATAAAATCATGCTTTGGTAAATCATAATTATGAAATAAAAATCATAGGTCACAAGTCATAATTATGAGATTAAAAAGTCAAAATTATACTATAAAATTCACAATCATGGCAAAAATTGAAATGATGACATTAAAAGTCAATTATGGCATTAAAGTCATTTTGTCTTCTAATTTAAACATTTTGTCATATTTTGACTTTTTATGTAATAATTAGGACTTAGCAAGTCATTGCTAGTTATTATTATTAATAAGTCATTGCTTATTATTATTATTATTATTATGACTTGTATGCAGGTTATTTGTAGTTGTACTATAGGTAATATATAGGTACTATAGGTAATAAAGATCAAATAAAATAAAAATAATAAAATCATTAAACAAAAACATTTTCGTTACTTGTTAACTGAAATAAAATATATATTTTTAAAAACTTAAATGTATTTTATTCATGCTAGTTGCCAAGGCAACATTTCACATTTTTATTTAGTTGATGTACTACTGTAAACTTGATGTACTAAAATAACAAAAAACGAAAAAATATATTAACTATATAAAAGTATATAGACATGTTTAAAAAAATAAAAATGCACAATAAAATTACTAACATTTAAATGGAAATATACAAAATGAAATCTTAATAAATCTTAATATTTGTTGGTCCCACTTTATATTAGGTGGCCTTAACTACTATGCATTTACATTTAAATTAATCACTTGATATCAATTTTAATTTGATTAACTTATTGTGTACGTACATGTTTTTACATTGCACTTTTATTTAAAAAAAAAAATACCTGCATGTATTTACATCTGTAATTAATTTCATTACATTCATAAATTAATTACATTTATAATTACACTGTTGGCCCATCCATCCCTTAGTCTACACCTTAACTCACCCTTAAACCTACCCATACCACCACTGGCTTCCATAGGGAAGCAAAAGTGTTTTGCAACACAATAAGTACACTGTACTTATTTTTTTGTTGCAAGTACATAGTAGTGAAGGCCACCTAATATAAAGTGGGACCATTTTTTTGTGATTTACCAAAGCATGAAAATAGTGACACCCTGTGATTGAAAATCTTGCAGCATTGTAAGTACAGGCTGAGAGACAAACCGCCTCCTACTGGATGACTCCTTACATTGAGTTTCGTTTTTTCGGAAACAAAACCAGGATACGGAAAAAGCTGTGGTCCCGCGATTTATTCCATGTGCACATGGTGAAATGGCAGAAGCCAGTATTTCAGTGGCTCCGGACCAGTTCTGCTGTCCAGTATGTCTGGATCTCCTGAAGGAGCCTGTGGCTCTTCCCTGTGGACACACTTACTGTATGGCCTGTATTACAGACTCCTGGAATCAGGATGATGAGAAGGGGGTCTACAGCTGTCCCCAATGCAGACAGGCCTTCACTCCAAGACCTGTACTGAGCAAAAACACCATTCTGGCTGAAATGGTGGAGAAACTGGGGAAGACAACACTCCAACAACCTGCTGCTGCTCCTGCTGGTCCTGGAGATGTGGAGTGCAGCGTCTGTACTGGAAGAAAACGCAAAGCCGTCAAATCCTGCTTGATGTGCATGAACTCCTACTGTCAAGTTCACCTTGAACAGCACGAGAATTTCTTCAAAGACAAGAAACACCATTTGATGGAAGCAACTAAACGGCTCCAGCAGATGATCTGTAAGACACATGACAGGCCTCTAGAAGTTTTCTGTCAAACTGACCAGGAGTGTATTTGTTTGATGTGTACGCTGGACAAACACCAAAAGCATAAAACTAGACCAGCTGCAGCAGAGAGGACAGACAAACAGGTATGAACTTTTCATTTTACATTATAAAAAGTAATATTTTACATTGATTGTAGTTACTAAATAATGTGATTGTTTGTAAGAGGATGTACCATGTCGTAATATTTTCATGTGTTTCCCTATTTTTTCCTTTTTTATTGATTAATTTACTTGTGGAAGTGAAGCCAAGCCAATTTTGCTTGTTTTATGTTTTGTATCATATTTGATGCATCTGGCTTTAGATAGCTTATCATGTAATTAGATCTTTATAACAGTATAGCAGACTACTGTTACTTGCATACTACTAACAGAAAATACATGTAAATATCAGTTGTCACTCTACATCTTTCAATAATATGTAACAGTAAGATGATATTTAAATACTTAAGCTTTCTGATATTAATTTTAGGGAGAAATAAACATAAAATACAGTGCAATACAGTGATGACTGAGATGTAAAAGTTCCTCAAAAGCCTGATATATCATAGCTGACTCACATTTTAACATGATTTTCCTAAAAAAAAAAATAAAAAAAAAAAAAAATGTATGAATAATCAAGTGAACCTATGTTGTTTCAGTCCAGTAAATGTTCATCTTGAAACATTAATGACAATATAAAAGTTATTTGGCACCAGTGGTCTGTATGATTGTATGAAATGAAACCCAGGCTGATTTTTGAAAATCTCATAGGAACTGATATTGAAGAACATTTCTCAGTTTACTGTTCATTCTTTGTTCAACAGAGGCAATTAGAGGAAATACGCAGAAAATACAATGAGGAAATCCAGCAGAACGAGCAAAAACTTCAGGAGCTTAGAAAGGCTGTGGATTCTCACAAGGTGAGTTTTTAGAGGAGAACTGCGTTGAGCTGGAAAAGGTCATCATGGAAGTCCAGTGCCGGGCCACTTTCCATCCTGTCTGAGAACCCTGGCTTTGTGTGTCCTAACAGCGCTCCGCTCAGGCAGCAGTGGATTACAGTGAGAGGATCTTCACCGAACTGATCCACTCCATTGAGAGAAGACGTTCTGAGGTCACACAGCTGATCAGAGCTCAGGAAAAGGCTGCAGTGAGTCAAGCTGAAAAGCTCTTGAAGAGACTGGAGTCATCAATTGATTTACTGAAGAGGAGAGACACGGAGCTGGAGCAGTTGTCACACACAGACGATCACATCCATTTCCTTCAGGTGACAGGATCCTGATATTAAAGAGGACTTTTACTCATTTTATTTATTGATAAGTTCTTTAACCAATAATATAAGGATTTAATCTGTGTAACATTCATGTAGAGTAGAATTATCATTGAAATCCTGCATAAAGTCGATTTCATTTATTTAAGCTTGATGTCTTTATTGTAGTTCTGTTTTTGTGTCTGTAGAATTTCAGGCCTCCTGTTTTGCTTTATGTGAACGTACTCGACATCACTGTCAGTTCCCAGCTCTCTTTTGACAATATTGGAAAATCTGTCTCTCTGCTGAGAGGGATACTAGAAGATTTCTGTAAAGAGGAGATGGAACGGATTTCTGCTAGAGGTAAAATACTGGTGACCTGATGCATCCTTGCAACTTATAGGTGTGATGTATACAATTTATAGATATATTTATAGTACTCGTGTTGTATAAATGTTTAAACTGTATATTTGAAATACATTTGCATAAAAACATCACACTTTTCCATTGGTCTCCATAGTGAAATACATCCAGATCACTGCCACCAATAATCCCAAGACTAGGGAAGAGTTCTTACAATGTAGGTGTTCTATCCATCTGTCTATATGTCTGTCTGTCTGTCTGTCTGTCGATCTATCTACATGTATGGAATGATGTTTTATAATTTTGTTAAATAATTTGCTTTCCTGTGAATTTAAACAACAGACAGATAGATAGACAGACATGGATGGATATATATATAGATAGACATTATCTATCTATCTATCCATCTCTGTCTGTCTGTCTATCTATCTATGTCTGTCTGTCTGTCTATCTATCATCTATCTATGTCTGTCTGTCTGTCTATATCTATCTATGTCTGTCTGTCTGTCTGTCTATCATCTATCTATCTCTGTCTGTCTGTCTATCTATCTATATATGTCTGTCTGTCTATCTATGTCTGTCTGTCTGTCTGTCTATCTATTTCCGTCTGTCTATCTATGTCTGTGTCTGTCTGTCTATCTATCTATCTATCTATCTCTGTCTATCTGTCTATCTCTGTCTATCTATCTATCTATGTCTGTGTCTGTCTGTCTGTCTATCTATCTATGTCTGTCTGTCTGTCTGTCCATACAAATTCACTACATAGTATTATTTACATATTTTTAAAGAATTAATTGATTAATAGTATAAAGCCCATTAATTCTTGATTTCATAAATTTGTCTACAGTAATACAAGTTTTCTTTCTTTTTTTGTCTTATTGTTCACTACTCATTGAACAAAGATTAAACACGTTTGAAATATTACAAACAATCTTTTTTATTTTAATACATTTTAAAATTAATTAAAAATTCATTCATTTTAATCTTATTAATTTTACTGTTTCATTCTTCAAGTTTATTTCTAATCTGTGTATTTATTTATAATATATATGTATTTTTCTTATTATTTTATTTCTTTCAGCTTCCTGTCAACTCAGTCTGGATCCAAACACAGCAAATACCCACCTTCATCTGTCTCAGAAGAACACTGTAGTTACTTATACTGACAAAGGCCAGCTGTGTATTGCACATCCAGACACATTTAAAGTCAGCCCTCAAGTGTTGTGTAGAGAGAGTGTGTGTGGACGTGCGTACTGGGAGGTTGAGTGGAGTGGGAATTGTTGGGTGGGAATATCAGTGTCTTATAAGAGCATCGACAGGAAGGGTGTCGAGGGTGAGTTTGGATGTAATGATCAATCCTGGACATTGCGAAACACTAACTTAGATCTGTTATTCACACATAATTCTGCACACAGTAAAATCATGGCACCCCTACAGTCCTCTAGAATAGGAGTGTATGTGGATCACAGTGCAGGGACTCTGTCCTTCTACAGCGTCTCTGACACAATGACCCTTCTCAAAAGAGTCAAGACCACATTCACTCAGCCTCTCTATCCTGGCTTTACGGTTTTAAGAGGATCAAGTGTGAAACTATGTGATCTAACTACATAGATGAGGCAGTGTGATTCAGAAATAGTATTATCACATCAATATTGTATTATCAGTGTTGTTATTGTTAACTAGAACTGTTAACGCTATTGTATTCATTATCTGACTGAAATAAAGTACAAAATCAGGTGAAAAACTTAAACTTGAAAAATTAGAAATGTTGCCTGAAATAAAGTTTAGTAAACATACATTAAACGTAACTAACCTAAAAACAAACATACAAAATTATACTAAAAGTTAAAGTAAATTTAACATGAAAACTGAACATGTATAAAAAAACTAATTCAAAAGTTAATAAATACTATAACAGAATATAAATAATACTAAACAAACAATAGTATACGAGTAAAAGCTGTCACTGCAGACCTTCATCATGTGTGTTTTAAAATGTGTAACTCTGGAATTGAGTTATTCTGGATATTTACTCTCCATACTTCACCTATGGGTATAAATGCTGATGCTATAGAGTGACATTATTAATGTATTGTATTTCAGTCTATTGCAATATGACATGAGTAAAATTTTGTTTTGAGATAACCTTTCTACAAGATGTTTCTAATATGATGTGTTACGACATTTTGTGATTGATCATATGTTGTTTTTAAATGAGGTTGTGCCTGAATATTTTTGTATACCTGATGAAGGTCATAGGACCGAAACATTGTTAATAAAGTATATATGTGCAGTTGATAGTGTGCAGAATTGTTGAGGTGTTTTGTATTTGGCCTTGGTTTGGTCTGTTTCCCTACGCACATATCAATTACCTACAGGTGTGTGAGGTTACTTGTTAATTAACTCATTTTTAACATTTTGTTTGCCTTATAACAATATTTCCAATTTCAAATTATCATAAGAAATAAAAAACAGTTGTGTTCTTTCAGTATATTTATTTTCCATTTCCTCACAAATACACACTTTAAATAAAAAGAATATTTTGAAATCATCTTTTTATGTTAATCTGTGCTTATTTGATAACTGTTTTATGTACTATTTGGGATTATGTGTATGCTTTATTTTTTAAGATTAACTTTTTTCCAAGCCATGTTAGATGCCAGTTTTTCCTGTCATAACTAGGCAAGATTTGATTTCAAAAACAGTATCATAGCTATTAAACTATTCCTTGTTTGGTTTTAAATCTGTATTTAACCTCAGAACGATCTCAAAGTAAAAAGAGGTGCTACCGTGCTAAACGTCTGATTTTGTGGTGGCTGTGCTTTAAAATTAAATTATTATCATCTTAATTCAAGTGATGAAGGATTCTGACAGTAATCAGTGTTGAGTCCTACTGTAAGATTAATCCTGCCTGCTTTAAATGTTTGAAAATGATTAATAGTTGAAAGTATTAGAAATTTAGAAAAGTAATCAAATGTAATCAGTTACATTACTTTAATAAAGTAATTGAAATAGTTACACTCCTACTTATTAGCCTACATTTTAGATAGGGTAGCTTGTAACCTAGGCTATTACATTTCCGAAGTAACCTTCCCAACACTGATCATTAGTTACTGAAAAGAAATTACAGGGTTTTTTTTTTTATAGTGTTTGCAGGTAATCTCATATGAATACATTACCAGCACTTGGAAAATTGTTCGAGCACCTCTCCTCTAGATGGCAGCAGCGAGGTCCCGATGCCGCTCAGCAAATCTAAACATCCACAGAGGTACACAAACGTTTCCGCCAAAGGCAAAATGGTGGACTTGTTATCATCATTGGCGCCCTGCAAAAATTTAAAAATCAGTCTGTACATACTCTCCTAGAGGCGTTGCACACTACGTTACATCACCATGTTTAAGAAAGCCAAGAGGTGCAATTTCAGACGGAGGAATGACTCTGAAGATGAGGAGAAAGAGAAGGACCAGCAGTCCGGCGGGCCCGGGGCTGAAGACTCGGCGAACCCGAGTGAGTCCACCAGCACCACCGGCCCCGCTCCTGCAGCAAACACGCTGAACAATCACGGAAACGGGTTTCAGCCCGGTGCTGTCAAGTTCAACAAAGAGAAGAAGAGAAAGATTGAGAACCGAGAGGAACCTAAAGCGAGTCTTCTGAGCTTCCGCGATGATGAAGGTGCGTATGAACTGCCATGGAAGACACGTATGAAAACTTAACGTTTCACAAATTATTCGTGTTAGAGTTTTGCAGTGTAGTTAACCATCTAATTGCAGTCTATTGAAATTCTATAACAGTTCGTGTCATTAAAGTGACAGCCACTAACCGAAAAACACGAGCTATTTAGCACATTATATTAGCTAGTAATACTGACCAATTAGGACTCTGCATATGTGAATATAACGAATGATAGGCTAAAGACCAATATGGTAATATTACAATGATTAAGTAAGAGTCGGGATTTCAATGTTACGGAAATATGAAATAATATGGAGAATTTTAAAACTGCTTTAAAAAAATTTTATGTTTTTTTTTTATACCCTTATTAATTAATCATAAAAAAAGAAAAGGTCATGTTAATTAATTGATCAAAAGGTGTGAGGACCCTGAAAAATACTTTGCAATGTAACTCCTAGTGAATTGCACTGATAATTTCATGCATTTCACTATATATCTGTCACTGTTAGATGAGACTGAAGTGTTCCGTGTGAAGAAATCCAACCACAGCAAGAAGATTGTCAAGCAGCTGAAGAAAGAATACAAGGATGATTTGGAAAAGACCGGCAGTGCCATACAGGATCAAAACACACGCATTGGTACAATAATTATTTTTTTTTGTCATATCGGTCAAGCATGTTTATAGATCAAAGTCAGGGGACTGCTTTTTATTTTGAGGAAAACATCAAATTAAATAAATGTTTCTAAAAAAAATGCATGTAGTTTCTAAAACAAAGTGCATTCTCATCAGAAAGAAGCATTAATTACTTTTTTAGAGAATTGCATACATTGTAACAAAAAAAAAGTTAAAACTTGTAAATAAAACGATTATTATAAAATATTACATTTTTACAAGAAAATGCTATTTTGGTTTTTCTACTTCAAAGTTCAATTCAGTGATCTACTTGCTGTTTCTTTGTACATGCTTGCGCACCAAATTTTTACAGTGTGTGACCCCATTTGTTCTAGGGTTATTTTTCTTCCATTGTAGTTTAGACCCTAAAAGTATTACAAACCCTCAGAAATCTTTACCACTAGACCATCTAGCTAGTTCAAGATTACATAGTAAGTTTGTATTATCGCTCACCAGTTTGTCCAGGTGGACCTGCTCAGAATTTGTCAATTAAAGAGGAGCCCTTGGAGGGCAGCAGAGCCAGCAGTGAACAGGGAGAAGAAGAAATGGAGGTGGACAGCAATGAGGAACAGGAGGAGGATGGTGAGCAAAGGCCTGCGGGTGGAGCGTTTAGCCAAACTCTGTCGGCTCTCAGCTCGCTCAGACCAGGTGAGAGCTCCCATCAATCTAGACCGGACATGTAGAGCAAGTCACAGGACCAGCATCAGCATGATTAGGCTGTTTTTGCTTTTTAAACGCTTCGAGAACAGTCATACGGGGCTGGAACCTGCTTATGGTTATTGTGGTTAAACATTGAATATTGTTAAACACTGCATTTGATCAAATCCCCGTTTTTAAATGGCAAATGCTTTTAGTCCATTTAGGCTCTTTCTGGTTAAACTAATTCATGTGAAAATAAGTCATTGTGTTTACGGCAACAATAACTGTCATACGTTTCAACAGGCGAGATCCCCGACGCGGCCTTTATTCATGCTGCTCGTAAACGTAGGCAGATGGCTCGAGAGCTCGGGGGAGAAGCTCCGCTGGTCGAGAATGAGGCTACAAACAAGCGCCTCACTCATGAAGATGAGAACGACGGCAGTGACGACGAAGACGAGAAGAGAATCGTCTTCAGTGGAGTCAAGATGAAGAGTCAGAGGCAGAAAATAGCAGAGGAGATCGGTCAGTGAATGAAGCTCAGAGCTAGTCGTCTGAAGCTCCTATTTATGTAGAATTTTAGGAATCCCCATTCACCAGCTCTCCAGACAGACTGTCCTTGTAATAAATGTCATGTCACGTTGAATATGTCACAAAAAAGACTACTATGAATAGGGCTTTTGTGGGAAATCACATACTGGAAAAGATGTGCAGTGAACCACGGTCTGACCTTAGTGTTTGTTTTGAATGTGTGTGTGTATGTGTTGGGGTTCAAGGTATTGAATGCAGTGATGATGAAGCTCTAGATGATGGGCAGGATGAGGAAGTGAGTCGCTGGGAGCAGGAGCAGATCAGGAAGGGCATTAGCATCCCACAGGTGAGTTGGCACAATAACAACAATTCCCATTTTTCACCTCTTAAAAATGTTGTCAATGCTTATTTCAATAGAACAACTAAAATTTGATTTGACACATTTCTTTATTTTAAAAGAAAAAACTATGGCATGTAGCATTCAAGTAAAGAAATTGAGATCAGTGAATATTTTTGACATTTTTTTGTCAGTATTGAATAATTAATCAGTAACACAATAGACAGTCATTTTTCTTTCTTTGTTTCTTTGTTTCTTTCTCTCTCTAAACAGTGTATACATATTTGGGGTCAGTAAGATTTAAAAAAAAAATATATATATACTTTTATTCTGCAAGGATGCATTAAATTGATCAAAAGTGACAGTAAAGACATTCATAATGTTACGAAAGATTCCTATTTAAAATAAATGCTGTTCTTTTTAACTTTGTTCATCAGATAATCCAAAAAAATGTATCATGGTTTCCACAAAAATATTAAGCAGCTTTTTGTTTTGTTGTTTTCAACATACAATAATAATAATAAATGTTTCTCGAGCACCAAATTAACATTAACAAATTCAGCTTTGACCTCACATGAATAAATTACATATTTAAATCTATTGAAATAGAAAACACTTATTTGTTTTAACTGGGTGTTTTTGATTAAATAAATGCAGTCTTCAAAAAAATGAAAAACAATTCTGACCCCAAACTATTGAATGGCAGTGTAATTAACACACAGAGTGTGTGTATGTTGACACTCTGATCCTTTTAATGGCATATACTTTCTTAAATATTTTAGGTCCCAACCACCCAATCCGAGGATCCAACTATGTATTACCAAGGCAGTTATGATGCACAGCCATATGGAGCATCCTACACCATGCCCTTTAGCTACGCTG